TGAACACAATTTAGGAGTATCCATGATAGATGTGGAGACTTTCATCCATCTAGTGATGGCCCACAAGAACCTCTACGACCCCAGTTATGCCCATTACAAGAACAGTGGCAAGTGGCAGAGGGCCCGGGAAGAAATTGGGAGTGGAGGTTCCCTGAACTGGCAGCTCTGATAGCACAAGACACCAGAAGACGACATAGAAAAATCAGAAAGCAGATACAAGGATGAAAAAAACATATACAGGGCTATTCACAAAAGAGTTTGGATAAGGCAGGAGAAGTGAACAATCTAGGACAAAATAGCTGAACTGAAAAGTGAGCTGTATTGGAGAATTTTTCCTGTTCGAAGTTTGAGTTTCGAACTTTTTCCATGTACTAAAGTTCGAAGTCGAACCGAAATCGGCTGTGTTCGGCCCATCACTACTTACAAGCCACTGTAACATTTACTTACTCTAGAAATAGGTGGTAACCGCATACATTTATAACCAGCCTTGGTTATAAATGGGAAGGCTGTTGTATTGTTGTAAGCCTTCCCATGAAGAAACAAGGATGGGAGATTTAGGTAAGGAAAAAACATTGAAGGTTTGTTTCATTTATTTTTTGTTACATGGTGGGAGAGGGATGTAGGGGTTGTCTCTGGGGTTGGCCAGAATTGAGATGACACTAGAAAATATGTGATTTATCCAAGTAACCTTAACTACATCTTGCTTTTATACAACACATCTCATAAAGGAAAGCCATGAATGCTCCCATTGCATTGGTGGAGTTACGCTTCAGTTCTGCATGGCCCTGACATGCAAAGGAGTAGAGTAGACACAGGTGCTGAATTGAAAATCTATGCTTTTTCCTGTTAGGTGAACCTTAAAGAAGAACTCTAGGAATTTAAAAAACTTACCCTTTTAACCCGCACTTGGCAAGGGTTAAGTGCTTGTTTTTGTCTAGGGGACTCAAATAATGCAGATTTACTCATCCTCAAAGAAAGTTCTTCTTTAAGCAATCTTATGACTGCCTAAAGGGTAACAGTATTGATAAACTGCATCTTGGATTCTAGGCTCAAAGGCCCAGACTGTAGACAGTGCCTTTACTTCTTTTCAAGTCAATAAGTCCTGCCTCCTCTTGGCATTAAGCCCAGCCTCCTGCTATTCAACTGTCAAATGCCAGAACCATCTGGCCCCTGAATAACTGATTTGCCTGAAAGCTCGGGAAGATCCACCAATGCCAAATATTAACCTTTACACTATAGTAATCAGCATTTACAAGTAACTGCACATTCTGTCCAGAAATACGTAACATACAGATTGTATAATTATTACCTGATTTCCAGTTGGTTTTGGATATTGGTCCCTGGAAATTTGCCTAGTTTTGCCTAATAATTAACTTCACAATAAACTTAAAGTATATTAGGCTAACTGACAGCACAATAACAAAGCTTGGGGAGTGTGGGGTATCCTGTGCCAGACCTACTCAGGTATGACATGCTAAGAAGAAAGAGTAGCACCATCCAGTTCCAGGTTTTTCACATGCTTGAATGGTAAATGCTTGGGATTTGGGATACCTGCAAACATTTTATGCTTTTTTTTTTCATACCGTTTCTGATATTAATTTGTTTTAAAAGGTCTTCTTAAGTACAAACAGTCCATTTTTTTCCAATCATTTACAGCAAGCTTATCTATATCTTCCACCCTTTATTTCAAATTTTTTTTAGCAGCTAGCTATCTCAGTGGAAGGCTATTAATAAAGTCCTGAAAGACAATTAAAAATTGGAAATGACAATAGTACTAATTTTTGTTCTGCACTAACTTTGAAGCTTCACTAATATCATCCCACTGTCTATCAGGGTTCGGCATACATTCCATTTTTGCCAAATGATAATCATCATGGCCAATCAGCAAAACAATTTATCATTATCATTTTACTAAAGAAAGAAACCCATTAAGCAACTTGTCACTTTAAAATTATGCAGAATAAGCAAAATTCAATTGACCTTTCCTCCGGCACAGGAGGAATTTCAGTTCAGAAGCAAAAACAGCTCAAGGAATGATTCCAGCATTTTACGATAGGAAATCGTGCTTCTTCCAGTGCTGCTCTAATTCTATTGTCGACATATTCTCATTAATGCTCCCCTGAAGACATTGGCAGCTAATCAAGAAGAGATGATTTTATTTATATGCGTTACTTTTTATATACAATATATAAAACACCACCTGTGTGTGCAGACAAGTTTTCAAAACCACTCAAGATATTTCTATGCAATGCAATGAATCAGAATGCACCCTGAGATAAAACGGTTGATTTACTAAAGGCAAATAGGGTGTTCACTTTGCAAGGGAATTTGCACTTTGCAGGGGAAGTTTGCCTTAGCTTAGTGAATGTGGTATAACTTCACTTTGTAAAAAAATACCCAATCCTGTGCAAGGAAAATTTAACAAAAAGCATTTGCTCTTGAACATGATTGGGTGATGTCAGCAGCGCAAAAACGGCATCTACTCCAATTAATTTATTATTACTACAGGTATTTAAACCTAGCTTTGTTATGTAAGCTGCACATGGAAGGGCTTTTCACAGAACCAACACAATGCAAAAATTCCCCAATACATTTACCAGATAGTCAGCAAAAAATTAAATAAATATATACAGAATTTAGCAATTTACATCAACATGGACCTTTACCCATATCTTTAAAATAACAACAAACACAGCTTTAGAAAAGGTTAGTAATGACAATCTACAAACACATACGTCTACATAATTGCCGGCTTTGTATTCTTTGTATTCCCTATTTCTCTTTTCTTACCCAGTCTTCTGGCAGTGGCCATGTTTACTAAGGGCAGATTATTAGATCTCCATTTACTTCTTTGAACTCTGGCACATGTGACTAGGACATGTGACCATGCACATCATCTCAGGGCAGGAAAATGCCTTTCCCTAAGATCTCATGAGATTACGGATGAGATTTCCCTGAAATGCTCTGCTGATGTAACCTTCCCAGGATGCAATGCTTGGGCACATTACATAATTTTTGCCAGAACTGGACCAGGAAGTAGATGAACTCCATTTGTAAGTAAATGAAAAACAAGTTTGTTAAATTAATGAATGTAAGATCATTTTAAAGCAGCATGCAGAGCTGCCTGTTGATGTGATTTTTTAATGAAAGGGGATAAAGGCGCGCTTAGGGCTTAGTTTTAGTTGCACACTTTTGCAATGTGGAAGTCGCACTGCTACGTCCTGGCTCCTCTGTGTAGTATGGCCTATAACGCCAGTCTATAAGAGCCCTCATGTTGGAGCATATACAGGATCGTAATGAATAAATAAGCGCAGGTTCGTCTGGAGGTAATCCATTTTTCCTTAAGGGCTGGTTCACACTATCTGCATTCAGGTTGTGCTGGCCGTTTATTCCAGCGCAGACCGAATGGAAGAGAAGGCAAATTGCTGTGTTATCAAATGGCTCAGTTCATACCAACGCATTCTGGTGGTGTGCACTTAAAAAAAGTATGGCATGGAGGACTTGTTTTTAAGCGCACTGCAGTGAGATGTGGTACAACTGCATTGCAGGGCAGTGAGCCCATAAAACTGAAGGGAATGTCACTTGTGACATTTCAATTAAGTTCCCCAAAAAAAGAAAGAAAAAAAGAAAGTGCAATGTGGCTCAATCGAGCGCATTGTCATTGTTCAGGGACATGCACACCAGTAGCCATGTGGTTGAGGCTGTTGGTGTTAACATACTCTAAGGGCCGGTTCACAAAAATAATGCTTGCAGTATTTTTGCAGTTGCCTTGACTTATTTTTTACAGATAAGTAGAATTGTAAGTATGTAAATCCAGTTACTAAAATATCATATAAGTTTGGTATTTTAAAATCTGCAGCTTTCCTTAAAATAATACCTGGTGATCCTGCCATGAAGGTGTTTTGATCTTTCGAAATGGCTGTTCTAACCTAATGTGCTTACAAATCGTTTTGTGCTACATTTCAATTCACCCCAAAACTCATTCTTTCCTCGAATCATGGCTGCTAGGTAATTGAAGTTGTTTAGCCAGCACATCATATATAACAACATATTTCCCATTCTTCAGAGACATAAATAGATACACAGATTTCCACAAGATATGTTTTCATTATTTCAGTACCCTCGAAAGATCCATTTATTACTTAATTTTCCCAGCAGAGAAATCCATGACACAGAGAAACATAGAAACGTATTCCTTACACAGCGCATAGCCAAGCATAATTTGGCAATTACAACCATGCAATTAAACACACACTATGACATATTAAATAATTCTGTCAAACTCATTTCCTTTGTTTTGATCTTAAACATGATTAGTGAAAAAATATGGAAGTAATCACAAAATATTACATGCTTAATCCGGCACACTGCACTGTTTAGGCCCTATTCACACCAGATGCATTGACATCTGTTTTTCAAGGGATGCCAGCACAAGGACATCTGAAAATGGATGGGTGTGAATGGGAGCAGTTCACACCAGTGCATTATGTTGATGTGCACTGCCCTGTGCTCAAAAAAATAGAGCAGGCAACACAATGCACATCAAAGCAAAGCAGAACCAATACCTTATATAGCTTAGTGTAAGCCTTTGATGTGCATTTTGTTGCGTTCACCTCCTACCTATCTATCATATACCTGACTGGAGACTCAGCTGAGAAGGGGGCTGCCCGTGAACATCTTGTCTCACACCTCTGGAAGTAGTGACAGGGGAGGTAAGGACAGAGCGGAGCACAGGTGCCGATACTGGTGGCTGTCCGGTTCTTGAGGAGGTGCTTGAGTGCGTTGGACCAGGTGGTGAATCGGCAGCTTCATGTTTTTTAGCAGGAGTCCATCTCCAGGTAAGTCTCTTACACTATCCCAGTGCACCTTCAGTGTCACCTATAACTCTACCACCTCCTCTCCTCTTCCTCTTTCTTTGGGGTTCCCCTAAGGCTCTGGCCTTCTATTCTCCATCTACACCAATCCCCTGGGGCAGTTAATACCCTTCAATGGCTTCTAATGCCAGCTCTATGCTGACGACACCCAAACCTATCTCCCCACCCTTCAGCTCACCCTTTCTATCTCCTCACGCATCACTAATCTATTCACTGACATATCAATATGGATGTCACACCACTTCCTCAAACTCAATCTGTCCAAAACTGAGCTTACCAGTATAATATCCTGGATTCTGAGCTCTCCTTTCAGCCCCACATCCAATCACTATATAAATCTTGACCACTCAACCTCCGTAACATTTCCAAAATTCACCCCTTTTTAACAAATGACACAGCAAAGCTTCTAATTCACTATTTTGTAATCTCTTGCCTCAATTACTGTAACTCCCTCCTTGTTAGCCTACCAATAAACAGGCTATACCCCCTTTAGTCTATCATGAATCTTGCTGCCAGACTCATCTACCTTACCAACTGATCAGCATCTACCATCCCTCTCTGCCAATCCCTCCACTGGCTTCTAATCACCCAAAGTATAAAATTCAAAATACTAACAATAACATACCAAGCCATCTACAACTCTGCTCTAAACTACATCACCAACCTCATCTCAAAATATCACCCAAGCCACCCTCTTCTCTTTTCCGAAACCCTCCTGCACTCCAGCTCTCTTGTCACCTCCTCCCATGCTTGCCTCCAGGATTTCTCCAGAGTGTCTCCATCCTCTGGAACTCCCTATAATAATAAATCATGTGTTATAATAATAGCACACAATTTGGTATGAATGCACCTTACAAGTTGCCCATGCCGTTAGGATTAGATCACCCTAGAACAACCTGCAGTATTCTATTGGAAGCCATGATTCATTATTGCCAGTGATGCTGTTGTCTAAAACAGCCTTTCTCAACCAGGGTGCCCTGGCACATTGGGTTGCCTTCTGGCTTCTTCAGCTGCCTCAAAATTTTGTGATGGTAGGACTCTGATGTGAAGGGGAGGGGGCTCCTAATGTGAAGGGGGGAGTTACTGATGTAAAGGGAGAATCTGATATGTAATGGCGGTTCTGATGTGATGGGGGCTCCTGATTTGAAGGGCTCTCATGATTTGAAGGGGGAACTTCAATGTAAAGGGAGGAACCATACTTTATGTGCATTTTTGTGTTGGGTCCCCCCTTGAAACCCATTACATTTTAGTCTGGGGTGCCTCAAAATTGTGCTTAGTTTTTAATGGTGATATGACTAAAAAAAGGTTGAGAAACACTGGTCTATAAATATGACCTGCAGTCTAGTCAGGGGGCAAATACTATAGACAAATCCATCCAGCACCTGACACTGAAGACCACTGATCAGGACTATGCGGCTACCAGGAAAACACCCAACCAACCAAAAAGTGCCAGAAACACGTTCCTCCACCAAGTGCCAAAAACACGTTCCTCCATGGGGTAAATATCTCCATGGATAACTGCTGTTTTGACACAGTGGGGGAATAAAAAGTGTCTGAGACAAACTTTGTCTGAACTGACTCAACTGGATCGCAGCCAGGTAAATTGTCAGTGTTAAGGGAAATAAAATGTATAGTTTTATTAAACTCTCAAACTTTGTTTAATATTTAATCCAGAGCAAAAATAATGTTCATTGCCCAGCAAAGTATTCCTTTACATTTTTGCCAAATATCTTACAGTCATCATGTTTTCAAACAGCTCCAACTCTCTCAAATTTACTTACCTGAACGTCATGTCCAGTACAAGATCACAAGGGATAGATTAGTCTACGGCAGCTGTCTATGTACTAGCTCGGAGAAGGGAAGAGAGGAGTGGCTTGCCTTGCTCTGTCTTTGTGGAGACACACACAGTTTACTAGCATACAAGGGTGGCTCCATAGGACCCTGCAATACCCAATGCCTGTACTGTTTACACCATTGTGAGTACGCATTTTTTATTTAATAAATTGCATTTTATTGAACGTTACGCACTATGTCCTTGTCCTTTTTCTCTTTCCACCTGGATTTATACTGGTACCTGTGATCTGAGGAGACCTTATCGCCTTTTCTGTGCATGGGCTTTCCTCCCCCATTAAGAAGGGAAAAGGCGCATTTGACCTAGCTCTGTGGGTCTACCTCCCCAGGTGAGCACTCACTTGATGTCATCACTCACTTGGTGGAGTTGAAGGTCTGCCTGGATTGTGTGATTACCCTTACCTGAGAGTTATATGCACATTGGCTGCGAATCATCTGAGGAAATTTTTTTGCACAATCACCATTGTTTGCTTTTGTTTTTTCCTTGGGATTTTTTTTTGTCTATATTGCTTTTTTGTCTTTGTGTAGATATTTTCTATGCCTCATTTGTTTGAAGGCTCATATATGTGACTCATTTATATATGTTTCAATTCAATCGATTAATCGTTTGTGAAAATAATCGTTAGCTGCAGCCCTACTAAAATCCTTCACAATATGAGGGCCAAGGTCATAAAGGTTTAAGATCTGCATCTGTGTGCACCTTGGGCAATAATGCAGCAAAAAGCCACTTTTATGGCTTTGGCATTGGTCCTGGTGTCCCAAATAAACACATTTATCCTAGATTTCCATTTACTGTTTTAAGGAGAGAAAACATCCATAGCCATGACACTTTCTAGAGAAGCATATCTCTGCTAAACCAACATGGCAACCTACACTGTTCAGACAAAGACAAAGACTTGGTGCTATGTCACTTAAAGGATATGTGTGCTTAAAATAAAGTGGACTTATCCTTCTGGCCACTTACTGACCTTACAATCCCTCCCTCCCTCCCTGCACAGAAGAATACTTACGGAGTTTCAATGGGCTGGCTGCTCCTGCACAATACTTCACCGTTGACTTCTATGGGACACGTCTTCTGTTCGGGTGACAGAGGTAGACAAGCTCCATAGAATTCAATGGGGATGTAATAGCAGCTCTCTAGGCCAAAAGTATGCAGCCATCCACTAATTTTGATGCAGCTGGCCACATACCTACAGTACTCTGACAAAAAAAGCATGCTCTCTAACCAAGGCTTTTCCTACAAATGTATCCAGACCATTTCAGACCAGTCTGGCATAGTGTAGCAGCAGGAAGCATTCCCATTGTTAGGCACAGTAGGGATTGAACACTGTGGAATGGAGCAATGAGTAACTGTGAACTATAGTTTAGCAGTAGGAACATGAAGGGTCAGAAAGTGTTAGCATTTCATGTTCTCTTTTACAATCATTTTTTCAATTGCAACTAATGTAAGCAGCTGGGTCTGTGATAACATTGGTATTATGTAATCCCCTGTACAAACAGCACCAAAGCTGGCCATACACCTAAAGTTGGCCATACACCTTACAATTACCTGCACATTTTCTGTGGTCAGATGGAAAAGGTGGAAACAGATTCCTCCATCTACACTTAACTGTGTGGATGGAGTAATCTCCACCTGGGCCAATCTGTTGCACTTTTTCCATCTGACCACAGAAAATCTGCAGATAATTGTAAGGTGTATGGGCACCATTACAATTATCTGCAGATTTTCTGTGGTAAGATGGAAAAGGCGCAACAGATTCCTCCATCTACACTTAACTGTGGAGTAATCTCCACCTGGGCCAATCTGTTGCACTTTTTCCACCTGACCACAGAAAATCTGCAGATAATTGTAAGGTGTATGGGCACCTTAACAGTGGGAAGACCAGCACTATACACCAATCAGACTCCACTCCAGTGCACATGTGCTGTCAGGGAGAATGCTGACAGCAGAAGACAACAGAGCACAGAGTCATTCATTATCTTTGTGCTGCTGCTCCCTTATTTTCTAATCAGCAAGCTGAGGGGCTGTTCTTGAGAAAGCTCCGCCTAAAGTTCATCTTTAAAGTGGACATACACCAAAGTGTTAATTTAAAGTCTTGTTAATAGAATGGATAGACTATTAGTACGAAGGCTGAAATACTTACCTTTTTTTGAAGACAGCTCCTGAAGAAAAAGGTGCTCCAGCCTACTTTTGTTTGTATGATATGAGAGTGAAGCATTTTCGATGCTTAAATTGGATGTAGCATCAGATATATTTTCTGTGTTAAAGGATAAGTGTACTTTAAGACAAAGTGCACGTATCCTTTATCACCCTTTGTCCTGAGCTAAACTAACCTTCCCAACCCCTCCACAGATGCATACTTACCTGGATTGAAGGGTGCAGCCTCTGGTGAGTCTTTACACGGATTGACTTATGTCTCATTGTCCTGGCCGAGCTTGCACATTACAGCAATGTGCAGGCATGGTGAGGATGTAAACAATTACCCCACGCAGCTACCTCTTCATGCATCACTGGCCCCTCCCTTTTAGATTGTAAGCCCTCAGGGTCAGGGCCCTCCTTACCATCTTGTCTTGAATTGTATTGTAATTGTAATGTCTTCCTTATATTGTAAAGTGCTGTGCAAACTGTTGGCGCTGTATAAATCCTGTATAATAATAATAATTACCAGGAGCCGTGGCCTTGGGATCTGGAAAAGTATCTAGGTACGGGCAAAGGGGCAAAAAGAATAAGTGTGATTTGTCTTTTCCTCTAAGTGCATACATGCTTTGTATTGTATAGCATTTATTTGCTGGGTCATAGATGGCAGTGATGCAATCTGCAGTTATTTCACACAGATCAGCCCCTACTGCAGCTTCTCACCTTGCCGTCTGATTACCAGGGAAGGGGAAACTGTGGAAGTGCTTCCTCCTGCCTGCAGCTGAGAAGTATGGCTTCATTTCAGACTGGGCAATTTAACTACACTGCAGCTCAATAACTGATCTTTAATGAAGAGTGGTAGAGCTTTTTGAAAATATATAGTGTTGCTCTATAAGGTGACATGCTAGGAATGTATTCATTTGAAAGGTCCACTTTAACTCTTGAGTATAGGTCCACTGTACTCATTACAGCTGCCTTTACCTGCCATATTCTCCTAATGCTATTGAAGCTAGTCAGAGTCTGTAAACATAATAATGACAGTTGCCAGCATTTATAACTTGCCGTTCTGTTTATGAGTACATGTATATAACGTAATCAGTAAAACTAAAATCACTAGCGTGCCGTTAGGGCTGGACAATCAGCTGTGCTGTGCACTTCACTTCTCGCCATAACAATGGGGTTGTTGTGTAACCCTTTTGGAAAATGTGAGCATCAGCAACAGGGAATCTGAAAGAGTAGATGGAATAAGATCTATCACCATGGGTGGTAAACGTATATCATTTATAAAAAGTAAATGCTGGAAGTGCTTAGACAGCCTTGGGCTCAACACCGCGGGTGTGATTAATGAGTTTTAATACAGTGTATAGAACTCCAATATATTTCTATTTCACAGCAGGAAAGCATTAATAGCTTGCTCACTTGTTTTTTTTTTTTCTTCAACATTTCATCGATGTTCTTGTATATTATTTAAGATAACAACCCACAACTTTGTTGATATGAAATTAGACTTCAGTGCATCTGCAGTAAGAGATTAAACTAAACAGTGGCATGTCCAGGGTATGGCACATACAGCGCATGTTCTGGCCACCACTTGAAGGGGGCGATGTAGACAGCTGACATTTTTTCTCTCCCCACCCCTCTCCCATACACATCTCCTTGCCTGGCTCAACCAGGGATGCTC